AACAACTAAAGGTGACATAGATACTTTATTATGGTATAGTATTTAAATATATGCCTGAGAAACACATAATATTGGCCCTTTAAAAATATAACCTTCTGTATATTGCTAAAACCATTGTTAATATGGTATTTTAATTGTAAATTCCACATTGAATTTCTATTTATCTGTTTTACTTCATAATTAAAGTACTCATTAAACACATTTGACATTGTGTAACCCTGCTGTAGTTGTTTYAAACCTACAAAGTCAGAGTGAAAGTAACATTTTTTTTGAAACAATGCCTATTTTTATGGCACCCCCTGGGGAGCTTTTTGACTTCCTCTGTGACCTCTGCCATGATAGTGAACTTATCTTCCCCTGACGGTAGACTCTGCCTCCTCAAAGGGGAAGATGGTGGATGGGTTAAGGAGATCCTGGAAGTGCTCTTTCCACAGCTTGATAATATTCCCAGTCTGGGTCAGAAGGTCCTGACCTAAACCAAGCATAGCCTGGAACGAAGCCTACTTTCCTTTTCTGAGTTGCCAAACAGTTTTCCAAAACCAACCAAAAGTCCTTCTCCAGGGCCTATTTGCTCGGGTTTTTGCACCTTCAACCATAGAAGCCCCAGTCCGTCTCACCTGGTACAAACATACAGTATGCAGATCACTTTCACACAAATCACAACAATTCATAGTTTTCCATTTAAATTTTAAATAATATTTTAAATAGTTGCTTTTTATGATGATGCACAAAAAGCGAGACTCGTCGAAAATCCACTTGTGATCAGAAAGAAGTGTCAGCATCTACAAGAACATTGAGACATTAGGGAGCATTGTGCTTTGCCATCTGTGCCTCCATTATACACCAGTTTCACCATAATCTGCAGACTGCTACAGGCTTCAAAGGCGAGCAACTGAATAATCTTGATTGTAGTGCAGCTGCCTGCTTCAGTTGACAGAAACACAGCTCGAAGAGATCTGAGRCTTTAAAAACTACCCTGGGATGAAAACGTTCCCGTTGACATGACAGAGATAATGCCTGCAGCACAGCAGAGGGTTGCACAATTTTCAAAGCTCTCAAACTGATATTRTTGTTTACATTTGCTCTGTCTTACTCAACCTGTAAGTCGTGTTTGCAGGAGCTGGAATTTTACCTGAATGACAAATTCTGGTCGTTCTTGTTTTTTTGTTGTTGTTTTTGTTTTTTGTTGGAGTTGTTTTTTTCCARTGTGGTCTGTTTCTGTATATTTGCAGAATAAGCACCCTCCAAAAAGTCATTTATATATTCGGATATAGATTTTGAGACCTGGTCCAAAGAATTAACAGTTGCTGGAGTTTTCCTGTTGCTCAGTTGGGGCGGAGCTTCTTCTAAAAAATGTGAAGTCTGTCCAATAAAGTAAGATTTTTCTCAGCTGTAATTCCCCTAATTTCTCGGAAAACAGTAAATACTTTTTTTTTTCTTTGTTGGACTGAAGAAAGTTGAAACACAACAGTTTTTGGGGTACACAGATCCTGTGGTGTGCTGTAAGCAGCTTTGATGCTAAACAAATTATGTGTTTAAAATAAGAGTTTGTCRTTCTGAACCCAGCTTTGAGGAGATCAAAAACATGTTTCGACAAATCAGGAGGCTAATCTGGCTCAGAGCAGGAAAGCTGGCCTACCTTTTTAGTAAACATGGAGCCATGCTGAAAGCCTAATGCCAGTATTTAAGAGTGCAAAGGATTAGATTTTTCTGCAGCTGCTGATTTGTTATTACAGTATTACTGGGGCAGAATATGTCATCGATTTTGGCTTCCAGGTTAGATTCTTTTCCCTTAAGATGTTTTGTGATCAAATGCTAGAACTTCCTCCCTCAGGGAGAAAACGTTACAACTTGTTGGATTATTGACACTCAGACAGCCTCAAGCTTTCAGACATTTAAAGTGGTGCAWAAGTGAAGGTCACTGGTTCGATCCCCCATCCAGCCGTCTCATTCGTTGTGTCCTTGGGCAAGACACTTCACCCACCTTGCCTACTGATGGTGGTCAGAGGGTCCGGTGGCGCCGGTGCATGGCAGCCCCACCTCTGTCAGTGTGCCCCAGGGCAGCTGTGGCTACAGTGTAGTTTGCCATCATCATTGAATGTCTGTTAGTGTAAAACGCTTTGGGGTCCAGAGGGACTTGAAAAGCGCTCTATAAGTTCAGTTCAATTTACCATTTACCATTTACCGTTAGTGTTGTTGGTTATTAAAACGAAAAGGATGACAGTACACTTAAGTACTTTTTTAAATCTAAACAAGATGTTATTGACCTAAACTCAAATTAACTTAAAGAGACAGTCAGCGGAGAACCAAACTGGGCATTGAAGMTGTAAAGACAGATGAGGTGCAAACTGGGAGACTGAATGGAAAGGGGATGATRGGGGGGACATCTGGTTTAATGTCAACAGAGAACAGGTGGAAATGGCTAGACTAGAACCGGGAAATGAAGGCCGTGGCTCTGTTTGCCCCCTGAAGTGCTCCTGTCCTCTCACACGCATCTGTCCTTTGCCAGAGCTATGATGGTGGATGCAGTTCCATATCTAAACACTAGAGGCACTAATGCCTCAGTTGAACAATCCTGCAGAAAAAGTCCTTCAACTGAAAAACGATGGCTGGATTTTCTTGCATGCTGTGTGCTTAAGTATATTTTATCCATGCACAGAAAAAATGCATGTAAAATTGCAACTTTTAAAATTGATATTACAAGTGTTTGAACATGTGTGACTAGTCAAATGTCAGAGTTTCCTCTGGGATTTTTTTAATTCGCGTGTGTGTGTGTGTGTGTGTGTGTGTGTGTGTGTGTGTGTGAGTGTGAGTGTGAGACTTGGCTATTTCAGTTAATTTTTGGGTCC